TTGTCACTTTTTTTTAATTAAAATTTGTTTTATTTTTAATTAAGAATATAACAGTTTAGTATATGTTGGTTGTTTAATCTTATATGCGATTTTTGAGCGAAAAAACTATTTCGTTTAAAAATGGACATAGACTGATTTGCATTTGGACGCGACGATATATATAATTTGAAAATAAATCTATTATTTATTATTTACTCTTAAATTTCCAATTATATATTTTAATACATATGTATATATTTATATATACACAGAGAAATTGGTAAAGAAGAAAACAAAATTCCCTTCTTCCTCCTTCCCTCTCTATAATTTCGATAATATGTAAATATACTAAAAAGAAACCAAAAAAAAATTAAGTATATCTATACTTTGTTAGTAAAGGATACTCTTTTTTATGACTTAAAAGAAATATGGATTCTGAAATTCTGTAGTTGTATATAAACACGGAAATAATATGCATAACACATAATGTAAATAAAATATAGATATTTGTAATTTATAATATCAGAAATTTATCAAAGTTTATTTGTGATATTGTCAGCATTGATTACCTACTATATTTTTTGCTCAATTGACCAGAGCAGAGACGTCATATGAAATAAGTTTAAAGAATATTGTGAACTCTTATAATTGTACATATTAAAAGAAAATAAAAATTAATGACTGAGTACACTTCACAATTGATTCATATTGTCAATTTTATATGCATCAAATTTTAATGGGGGTTTTCGTTTATGCATGCTGCGCTGAAAATTCTACATTAGAACTAAAATTTCTAAGCCGCAGCGTTAAGCAGTATGCAAATACTTCAGTTAAGTTTTTTTAGTTTACGCAGTCTACAAATTCTGAAATTTCTAAATAATCAGTTGTTCGAAAATAACAGAAATGACATTGTTTATGAAATAGTACCGCAATACTTTTCGCCCTCCAATTCACTGCAAAATATGGAAATTTTAAACTTAAAGAAAACTTACTTTAATAATCCCTTTAATATCTGAATCTGCCATTTTGAAATTTAAATTTTTTTTTAATTTTAAATTTGAAAAAAAAAAGTTTCAGAAGGCAGCGACAATATTTAAACTAGAAGTCTGCGCTACATTTCTGACATTTTTTGATTAAAGATTGAATTTTCGAACGCACTTTATTGCAGCCAGTAATTTCCGAACGATCTATATTTTTAGTGTATGTAGCGTGAATTTTCGAACGTGCTACAAACTAGAACTATTCTAGAACTGAATAAACGAAAACCCCCAATTTCTTTCAAAATTAAATAAAGTTTTCTGCGGAACTCTCAAAATTATTCGGTATATGCATGTTTTAATTTGAATATTTCGAAAAAAAAAAATTTTGTTTTATCACTTGAATGTCTGGTACGTACGCAATAGTAGCATTCATAGGGATTTGAGTGTAAGTGACGTAAAGTAAGTGACGAAATAAGGTGTCATAAAACATAAGGCCAGTAAAAACATGTGCTGAAACAGCAATTTAGACTAAATGGAGAAAAACTAGCAGAGAAAAACTAGCAGTTACTCAGTTTAGAAAGTTATGACTACTCATGTGCGTTTTAAGTTAAGTTAAATTCTCCTCACTATTGATTATTTGACAACGGTTTGAGTTCGCCTATCTTTGTCTATCAATGATTTTTAACATCTGTATATTAAAACTTGAATTCCATAATAACTTTTTATGGAATTTTCAAGTTAGCTCTCTAATCCTCTTTCAACACAATAAATTATTATGTATTTAATAAATAGTTTTTGCGAAATTTTAAAAACGCATCTCAAAAAACTTTGTAATTCGAACTTTTCTTTCTATAATAAGTTTATAGCACTGTCGTATATGTGTTATATACAAAATTTCTTTTTATTTCTCTTTGATATTACTTTGATATTTTCAATATAATGTAGTTTCGCTCTCCTTAAAAATTATATATAGTAAATAGCCTCTCAGAGTGAAGTAATCTTAAATATATTGTACAAAGCGATCAATTATTTAAAAATTTTATAATAGATAAATGGTGCGAATGGAGACTCGCTGGGGCTACTCTTGTATATATAAATATTTTGAATATATGTATGTATGTACTAACCAATATGATTTAATTTAGGACGTAAAAATTACTTAATTTCAAAATTATTTAATAATGATGTCATTTTTCTGAAAACGAAAAATACAAAAATGACAAAAAAAAGTTAAAATAAAATAAAACAGAATCAACGCAACAACAGTATTTAAAACTATGACGATAAATTTTTATTTTAACAAAAAATTTAGTAAAAAATTAAAAGCATCGTTAGGGAACCCTCATGGTTTTTATGTTTAATACAAGAATTAAAACACACAAAAAAACACAAGAAACCGGTTAACTTTGATTTTTTTTTTTGTTTCGTTAATTAAACGGAGGGTTTAACATTGAAAGTTAAGCAAAAAAAAACCAACAGTGACGCCATCATTTTCATTAAATGGGAATACTAACCAAAAAAAATAATAAGCAAAAGAAACTTAAAAAAAACTGATGTGAGCAGCAACATTACCGATCGACCTGACAGCATTGTTAAAATGCTTGCACTAGAAAAGTTTCCTTTAAATATTTATTTAAAATTCTATGATATATGTACGAGCACGTATATATAAAGTAGCCTTTTAAATAGTTCATACACCTTGAAAAATATAAATTTTATTCTTGGTAAGGTTTAATTTTCCCTGTAAGGTTTTTCCTAGTTAAACAACTAGAAAACAGTTTTCTAGTTAGATTCCTGCGATATTATCATATATACGACATAGGCCCTTAGTGAAGGTTCTGTTTCCGAACACTGATATTCCCGGAAAATACGGCCCTGCCTGACTTACCATAGTGGTCATTAATTTTTATGCATCCCCTTCTTTTAAATGTATTTTTGTCAAATGAATACATGTATCTTTCTTATTCAATTTATTTATAAATTTAATTTACAATAGTAATTTCCAATTTACAATAGTAACTAAATGAGTTTATTCAAACATTAGTATCTTAATTTATTCAATCTTAACTAAATAGTTTGTGATACATGATATCTAAATGAGCTCAAGATTTATAATTGTGCAAAATACAAATGTATGGGCATGATATTTTGGAACGCTAATACGTATCTTTCAGTTTTCCGTATTAGTCTCTTAAAAATCTCAATGTAATAAAAAATTAATTTTTTAAAGACACCCATGTGTATCTACATACATATGTGTACAAATATACCTACAAGTCTAAATTCAATCAACCAGTTGTCTTACATAAATAAATGTAGTTAAATTGTTGCCATTAATTGCTGCCAAAATAAAAGTCAATATTTTTGATAATTTAATATCGAAAACTAATTTAAAATTTTTACAATTGACTGTTTCCGATTGAAAAAATTGGAGTATGGTAGAGTGGGTTTATAGGTAAATAGGTACTCACTTTCTTGAAAATAAATATCCACTAGTTTGTAAGTTTATTGCCTTTTGTATAACTTGATGTGTTTATTTGATACGTAAACTTTTAAAATTATAAAAAATAAGAGCTACATGCCGACCAAACCCTGCATAGGATTCTTATACGATAATTTTATGAATTTATATTTTTATTATGAACTTTTAAGGTAAATAGGTAAATACCCGCTCATACTTATGTATGTATTTTGGTATAAGTACTAACATTGGTACCTACTTATCTATTTACTTTAATTAAAAATATATTTTTTAAATTTTTATTGATTTTCAAAACAAATTCAAAATAGTTTATTGGAATTTTTTTAAAATTTTATATTATAAATGTTCTAAATAATATTTACGTATGTATACGTACATGCATACATTAAAAAGAAAAGTTCAGACAACTCTTTGAATTCTTTTTCTACATAACATTCTTAAATAATTTAAAAAAAAATGTTTACAAAAACATTTTAAATTTTATTACTTTTCCTAAATAAATACAAATAAATACTAGGCGGAGGATGATTGAAAAAAAAAAAGAAACAGGAAATAAAATATTAGGAATAGGTGCAGAAAAAAATTCAAATTTTATTCTTATAGGTACACTCATACATAGTATGCATGTACAGGGTGCACGAGACTTATGAGAAAGTTCTAAATTAAATCTTTTCACACATACATACATATACTTATTAATCCGCAGAAACTTAATATTTCACTTCTGCAGATTTTATAAGTGCTACACGAGTAGTTTTTTAGTTTTTCAATATCCAACATTTTTCTATTACTTAAGCATTTTTTCTAATTTATATTATTTTTGCAGAGTACCTATAGCTATAAAAAACTTAAAAATTCCTCTAGAACTCTTAGGTACCCATACAACCGTTATTTTCGCAGATTTTGCAGTTTGAATTTTTTTTAACTTGCTTTATACTAAAGAGTTAGAATTGAATTGAATCGAAAGTCTCTTGTATATAATAAAACTAATATTTTAAAATCATACACTGATTGAATTTTAGAACCCTCCATAATAATTTAGAAAGGGTGTATAGGACTATAGGTATTTGTAGAGAAATTTTTTTCATAACAAAATTTATTATATTTTTTTTATTACGTATGGACAAGTACGCAGGAAAATTAAGGAAAGGAAAAAAAAAAAAATATATAAAACGCATGCCTTCAAGAAGAGCAGAAGATTTTTTAGGTTTTGCAATTTTTTATTATCCTAGGACAAAACAACACGGAAAAAAAATTGGGTGTCATCTCTTTTGGTTTGTTTTGTTTGTTATTGGTTTTTTTTTTTTTGGAAATTACATACTCGTACATGTATATACGTATGTACATATCCAATACAAAAGTATTAATTATTAAACCAAGTATTTTTTGAATGCACAAATTCTATCAAGGGAAGCAAATTAGTACATACATACATACATACAAACACGAAACCAAAAAAGATAATAAAATTTTCTCGAAATTTCTTTAAAAATTTTTCTCTATATTATTATATTTGCAGACATATTTTTTTTTTTCATTTTATATACCTACATACATACATTAATACAATATCTGTAAATATTTCAAATTCACACTCATATGTACATATGTATGCACGGATGTAAAAATGTTGTAATACATAATATATTGTTGTATTTCACTTAATTGTTGTTTTCTTTATTTTTTATTTTTTTTGTATCAAACTCACAAAATTACAAATATACAAAAAAAAAAAATTATTTTAATTTGTTGGATTTTTCAAACAAAAATTAAAATTATTAAAAAATATTAATTATTTTTTTTTTTTAATTACACAAAAAAAATGTAGCGGTGGTGTACCTACATTTTTTTTTTAAATTATTTACCCGAGAAACGCGCGATTTATCCGCAAATAAAATAATAATAAAAATAAACGTCAGTTTAATATCACTTATTGCTTACAACTAAGAAGAAAAAAAATAAAACATAAATACAAAAAAAAAAAAAAAACAAATAAAAAATCTTGGTTGTTTTTTTTATTTTCTTTTTTATTACATAAAAAATCTAAAAAGAAAAGCAAAAAAAAACAAGAATTAATTTTTTATTTCTTTTTTTTTTTTTAATTTTGTTTTATTTTCGTTTCGCGTTGCTTTTTTATTCGACTTTATTACAAAAAAAAAAACAACAAAAATGGAATAGGTAAAAAAACAAGAAACAACGGCAAAAACTAGCTATTGACAGCGCACACAAGAAACTTTTTTGACAACTACAATGACAACTACTTGTTCTGAGTTTTGCATAGAAATTGACAAAATTTCGTTTTTTCACTAAATTGAAATTACATTCCTGTTTATATGGCGGTGTTAAACGTACTTGAAACTTATTTTATGTCCACCTAAACGTCAAGAACTAGCTGCACTCAAGTTAATATTTGGACTTTCAAGTTTACTATCTATCGAGTAACTCTACGTTGTATGGTCGCGAGATATAAGGATGTATTTATATGCAGGAAAAGACCGGTACCTTTTTTTTCAACAGGCTGTAGCTCGAAAACAAGTATATCTGGATCCCAAGCCTCGCTATTGGTTTTTTGCTGGAACAAGTCGAACTACTTTTGAATAGATATATGTACTTTGGTTCAGAGATATCAGACAGCAGTTATATTTTGATAGAGCTCAGATATTACGCCAAAATTTAATAATTTTGCTACGAGAATTATTACTAAAATAAAAATCTACTGATTGCTGCTCCAAGCTCTCACAAAAAATCTGACAGCAAATCTGACAAGAATAGAAAGTAATTTCTATTATTGTATCCATGATTAAATCTGCGATAAAATCTGATAAGAATTTACACAACAGATTTTATTTATACCAGAGTATATCTATCTAAAAAGTTGTTCGGCTCATTCCATTCCGTCAGTTTCCGTTTGCTTGTCATTTCCAAATTCTCAAAATATTCCATTTTTATTTAAAAATACTCGTAGATAGTAATAAGAGTTGTGTAGGCAAAATAGAAACAAAATATTGCAAACAAACTAGTATATCAATAACATCGAACTGTAACAAAATTTAATTAAGTTTGGAAATAAACAAAATTAAATTTTGTTATTTTTATTTTGATAGCAACAAAATTTATTTTTAATTTCATAAAAGTTAGGTAAAAAAATTCGAATATATGAAAGCTATAGATATGATTTTAAAATGTTATATATTTTAATATTGTATATATGTATGTACATATAGATGCACATGGTACAGTAGATACATAGTTTCGAGTAGTGAAATAGAAATAAAGCAATTTATAAAGAAAAAAATGTTTATGCATGCTGATTAATATTTTATGAAATATAGTTATTACCGATATGGGTACTATGAGTTTTAATTCATAAAGAGAAGACTAAAATAAAAATATGAAATTTAAGAATATATATTTATACCATTAATTGACAATAATATAAATTACAAATTTAATTTTTTTTTAATATTATTAGTCTTTTTAAAACTTATTTTTATTATTTTTTAAATAAGAAGGCATACTGATTAGCTAAGGGACTTTTACGTATACAAAAATTAGTGAGTGATTGCATTAGTGTAATGTAAACGGAGAGTCGAACTACTTCTTACATAGATATACTTTGATTTATATTTTTACGTCAAGCTTCTGACGGTAATGTTTTCAAAATTAATTGTAATCTATTAACAGCCAAAAAAATTAAAAAAAAAAGTTTTTAAAAATTTTTTTTAAAAATTTATTTTCCGCCGTGTTATTTTTAAAAATCTGACCGAAAATATTATGCTATTCGGATATGTTTTTATTTTTTTCATCAGATTTTTTTTTATATCAAACTTCGATTACACATCAGATTTAGATTAACTAGACTAACCTAGATTAAGGTCCTGATCGTTTTTTTCGTTCTTTTACTCGGCAAGTGAGGAGAAAGTGAGTAGCTACGAGTATTATATATTTGTATAATCTAATTTTCGAGTGAGAAGAATTATTCTGTATTGCGTACCTTTTTTTTTTCAAAAATGTATACAAAATTTATTCACTTTATTTTTGAAATTCAGACGTTCAGTCGATAATTTGAAAAAAATGCAATTGACAAAATGAGTAATCTTGTTGGAAAAATGAAATATCCAGTAGAAAGACCGAGAATTCTGATTTGAAAGTGAATAAAAAGTGAGTAAAAAAGGCCAGTTAAAGGATTAGACTGTAAATCTGATGGTGACAAGCGCCTCAGATAAAATCTGATATTAAACAATATTAATTTACATATATAAACGACTTTCAACAGACTCAGATTCGAATTTAGTCGAATATTCAACAAAATGATGTTATGGTTCGAGAACAATTAAATTTGCTAGGCCAAAATCGTCGCTATCGAGGTTTCCAAAAAAAAAAAACATTTGAAGTTATTAAGAAGTGAACGAAGTGAATAATGTAGGTAAGGCCATTCAACTTCAAAATGAGGCCCATCATTCTTGCTTCCAAGAAAAAAAAATATTCGATTTTACTATTAAAATTTAAAAAAAATTTTAAAAAAAAAAAATTAAGAGTTCAGCCATGAAAAATATAGATTTAGTTACATAAAAATTCCATACAAATTTATTATTTGTCAAAAAAAAAGCAATCAGTAAAGTTAGTTGAAAATGCCATTTCTTCTTGTAAGTATGTGATGAAGGAAACTCGAGTGGCCCATACTCACATAGCGCATATTTGCCAACACCTCACAAAAATTGGCCGACAGTTGATGTAGATTATAATAATAAATACATTTTTCAAAAATTTAAGGTTTCATTGTCATTTTAACATTTTTAATTTATGAAATAAATGCAAATATGTTTTCATTAATTACAAATAGATTTTAAAAAATAACTAACAATACCAACAAGCAATAAAGAGAATGCCAATTTCATACAAAACACAAAACGAGCCCGTCGCAAAACTGACAAACCAATGAATTCATCTTAAGAGTTTATAAATTTTAATTTAAATAGTTCTAGCCAGATAGGATTCGGGTAAAAATTAAAAAAAAAAAACAACATCGATCAAGTTGATTATTCAAGAGATCTTTCTTTCTAGAGAAAGATTAATTTATTGAAAATTACTTAATAAAATTATGGAATTTCTATTCAAGTAACTATAAATTTCCTTTTTCAAAGATTATTTCATTTGGGATATCTTACTTAATTATATTTCTATATAAGGTGGAAGCTTAAACTAACACTACTGTTAAGTAAACAAGTAAATAGATTCGTACACTTTAATTATGTTTTTACTAACCGCATTGCATACAATAAGAGAGGTTATATGGGAATCCGCTTCTCCAGAAGCGAAGGTAAACAAACTATTTTTAGAGATGTGTCGGTCTGTGTGTTTGCCTATTTGTGCAGATCAGTATCTCAACTTGGGCTGAACCGATTTTGATGAAACTTTATATTATGTTACTTTATTTTGACTATTTCACAATTTAATCAACGTTTGGGTTAATTTTGCATTTTTGCGCACATAAAGATAAACAATCAAATTATTTCTTTGAAATTTTATATGCAAATTCGTTGCATATCGTTCAAACAATGAACCTATAAATTTTTTGGAAGGACCGAACGAGCAGTTGATTTTACTTTTTTTTACCATATTCTTGAAAATTAATATGTGAGCTCTGGTTGTTACCAAAAGTAAGTAATAAATTTTTCTGGGAATTCCGATGGTACAAATCCAAATTCACATTTTTTGAGGAGTTAACTAAGAGCAAACTAGGGTCCTTAAAATAATAAAGAAATGTTTAAAACGCATTATCATTATCTATGTAGATCTTATTACCACGATAATCATATTTACTAATTGAATAATCTACAAAATAAAATATAACTTACCTTATTAGCAAAAATATTGTTGCTTTACTTAAAATCTCTACATTATTTTAGCTTGAATCCTGATAAATGCCCATATTATTTAATATGGATGAAGTGTCCTAGTTGTTCAGCTTGACAGTGCTATGCACTCATTCCTATACACAATACAATAAAATTTTTATACATTTTTATATCTAGTATAAAATTTTTTTATAAAAACAATTTATATCACATATTTATTCACTGTACAATTTTAAAAAAAGTAAATTATTGTTTCTTTTCAAATATTAGAACAAAATCATCTAAAAATTATAATTTTAAGCGGTAGCGGTATTATTAACGCCCGGCGTCACTAAAACGTCAAATATGACAATTAACACATGTAGCTGATGTGATGGCATTTAATATAATTTAAAAGCAAAAAATATTCACAATAGTCGAGAGTTAATATTGTAACTAGGTCTGTTCACATTTCTTTTTTTTTTACTTTTTTTACATTTACTTTATTTTCACATTATTCATTAAAAAATTGATTCTTTTTTGTATGCCGTGTATTTGAAATAAAATTTTGAAAGAGAACTATAAATTAAAAGTGGATAACCTTTTTTATGCAATTATTTATAATTATTTATTATAAATATCTTATTTCTTCCATTACAGATATGCACGCATAACTCTTTTTTCCTAATAAGTAACGTATCAGCGTTTCTGTCCATTTTTTGGATTTTCTTGTAAATTAGTTTAAACAGATAAAGAATAAGAAAGATAATGTACAATTTTACTTTGTATTAGTAGATTCAAACGTTCACCTCAAAAAATTTTTGGTACAAAAAGGAAGACAGAAATTTCATAACTACAAAACTATATATTTACTATATGGCAAAGTGAGATGGAAGGTACAATGAAAAATCAAGTAATGAAAGAAGAACACGACTTGTAAAGTCACAATATTTTTAAATATGTGAGTACATTTTCCTGCCAATAAAATATTTTTATTTATGTTAAATAAAAGTTGATTCATTTAATTTAATTTTAAAGCTTCGACGATTTTTTCAACAGTGTTTTAATTACATTTAAAATATCAAATGATTG